GAAGCTTACCAAACCCTTCTTCAAGGTAGAGAGCACGTTAGTGTAGAGCGAGGGGAATATCCCATTGGAAATGCGTTATATGTCTTAAACATTAATCCCTACATCGACTTTAATACGAAGCGGAAAGATCATTGTCGCTTAGAACTAAAATTCGCTTTACCCCTTCCCGAGAGTGTGACTCTAATATTATACGGAAAATTCCAACAGGTTCTCCACATTGATCAGTCTAGGAGCATTATATTCAAATGAACAACTACGAAAAAAAACCATTATTTATCATCATACGACGTTCAAGTCGTATGCGCCGACGACCTGCCTGCTGTTGCAAAAAAGCACCAATTTTGGATCGTGAATACGGACGAATGCGGGGGAAAAGGTTTACATTGGGTTGTTTTTCATTTTCCCTCAAAAGGATCTATAGAGTTCTTTGATTCCCTCGGAAATCCCCCGGAACATTATCATAGGAGATATCAAAGTATTTTAATATTCAATGGACCGAGATATAAATATATCGATTCCAGAATCCAGTCCGAGAAATCTTCCTTGTGTGGACAATATTGTATCTATTTCATCTTACAAAGAATTAAAGGACGTTCTATGAATGACATTGTACACGACTTTAATGATTTAAATACGCATGCAAACGATCGTTTAGTGTCTAATTATATAAATGATATACCTAAATAAAAATATTCCGTTCTCATAATTACATTTTTATTGTTGTTATTATATATACAGCTTCTTTAAAAAATCAACTGCGGAAAAAATCTGGAATATCCATTGATCTGAACTACCCCCCCCCCCCCCCCAGTACAATGTGACCCCTATAGTGATTTTCCACTTGCACAGCTGCTGCGTTGTGAGAGGAGATGGTTTCAAGGAACAGTTAACACGTGGATTTCTGTATAGAGAGGGCAATATGATCGAATGTTAACACAAGTCTTTAAATTTATAGAATTAAGTAATTTCAAATGCGCATTTTTTTTTTCATATTTCCTTTTAATTATTAAGATTTAAATCCTTTTGTTGTGATAACATAATTCATTCGATGAAGGCTAAAACTTGACATCACACAAGTACAGGGATTCAAAGATAAAAATTATGTTTCCCTCTAACTTTTCGTAAAGAAATTCGTTGTTCTCTTGTCATCACAATAAAATACCACCACTTAGATTTATTATCTTTCTTCATTTAATCTTCTTAAAAAAGGAATAACTTTCTCCAGCTTTTATCAATAAATACCCTAGACTAACTTTAAAAATAATGTTTGATTACCCTTTTTCGTCTCAGGATGAAGAAAATGAATCAGTGGGTAGTTATGGAATTCCATAGGTAGTTGAGAAAAAAAAATTCAATGTTAATTTAAAAAAAAAAAGATTCTGAGTCATTTTCAGTCAGCTGGTCGGGAGAGGGTAATCAGACGATTTTTTAAAGATGGCCTACTCAAACTATATTTCTTTCCTTCTATTCCTGTGCATTGCGTAAGAGTATTCAAAAGTATGATAATACTCAGTATTTTTTTTTCATATTTATATCACTTTTGGTCTCCAAAGTGTTATTAATCAATTTCTATTTATAGTGTTTTAATCAAATTGAAAGAAACAAACAACAAAGATTTTTTTTTCTTATATATACATTTCTTTATCTTTTCATATTTCAAGAAAATAAAAGAAAAATAATCCACATGAAAATATGTACACTCCTGTTCTTTTTAAAGTAACTATATACAATGTCATTAAGAAAAAACAATCCACAAGAAAATATGCAAACCCCTGTTCGTTTAAAGTAATAACTATGTACAATGTCTTTGTGTCTCTCTAGTTTGCATATTTAGAAACCATATCTCATCGGAGCTCTCCTCACTCGTAGTGAGCGACGAACTGGTGTGGCTCGAATGTGGCGTACTGGCGGCGCGTAGTTCCGAGGTTGTCTATTTCTAGTTAACGCCGAACACTTCAAAGTCACATAAAGCACTATAACAAAAAAAAAATAAGATTACTGTTAATCTAATTTCACTAGGTGAAATTCACTAGAAAATTCTCTAGAGAATTCTGTCTCTGATATATCGTCCATGCGATTAGTGATCCCTCTTCGTTTCACGCATTTCCGAATAATGAAAATAGTGCACACACACAAGCCGAGGCAAATCACTATCACTGACGAAATACCAGCGGCAATAATCCAAGGAGCGTCTGAAATACGTAACGCCAATACTTAAAATTTAATTCTATATTTGGTAAAATTTTTATTTCTTTACTTTCATTCTTATAAATCTTAATATAAAGAATTCATTTTTTAATTGTATAGGTTTAAAAAAGTTAACTTACTAAAACTAACGGCCATTGTCTCCAACGCCAGGGTTGTTGTGTTTGCCATCTGACTCACTGTAATCGTCTCTGACAATTCCGACCTCTGTAAGCAGGGCAAAAGACAAAAAAAAATCTTAAATAATCTAAATTTGTTGCATTTGAAGAAGAAGAAAAAAAATAAATAAAAAATCAAGATAAATATAATTGTTTAATTTATGCAATATTGTTAAAGTTACCTCGCAAACTTTGTCCGCTGACTGTTGTTTTGGAGTTGGCGTGGAAGTGGCGACAGTCTACTTCTGAATAGAGGACCTGGACCTTGGCTATGTCGCTGGATGTGAAGTCAATAGGTCTCCCTTCAAAACTCTGCGGATGATCACTACATCCCCTGACTTCATGGCATTCATCGCATCTTTTACATCATTGCATCTCAAGAGTTCTTCCTTTCGCTCACACCCTGTCGTTAACCCAATGCAAAACGTCAAACAAATCCACCCGTACATCTTAATGATCTTTCTCCAAGTATTTCTGAGACAGTGATATTGTTGCTCCGTGGGGTGCGCGGAATTCTGGGTAAACACACTGACCTCGCAATCAGTCAAGCGTAAGCAGGCAGCTGGGACATCAAAGACCCGGCGAGGGGATTGCATAATCTACACTGGTCATACTAGAGACTTGTGTATAGCAGGTGGCCAGCCGAAGACATGAGACGAGCAAGAGAACAAATTACATAATCTGCATCCAACTGAAGACTTTAGATCTTCAGAAAGTGTACAGTTGTACAAAATTAAAAAATATTTATTTATTTATAGTATAAAATTCAAAGTGTTGTGATATGAAATAAAATCTTGTTTTTAGCAGTCAAGAAACGAAATTTGTCATTATCATAGTGTTTTTGTTTTTTTGTTTGTTTTTTTTTTTTTTTCACTTAAAAATTCAAAGTGTTGTGATTAATTCTTGTGTCAGTAGTAAGGTGATTCCAAGTTTATGTATGATCAAACAAGAGTAAAATAAACATATTAGACAGCTCCAATGGTTAATGAGAAGAAAAAAAAATTTATATGTATACATGTATATTAATATAGTGTAATGAATTTACTTTTAAATTAAAGGTAGAATAAACCCTACCCCCCCCCCCTCCATTCGTTGTTTTAATGAAATTTAAATTGAAGCAGGGTCTGAAAGAGAAAAAAAATGATAAAATTTTAAAAGGGAAAATCTATGCCACACTACTGTACACCAATTAACAATCATAATAATTTACCAGGTGGTGTTCTGCTCCTGCAGAGAGGACATCCACGGGACTTCTTCGAACGCTGGAAACACGCCATGCAACAAGCTATCTTCTTGCATGTATAGCATATATAGCTTATACATTTCTCTTCGCAGCAGAGTCTACATTCAAAATTCGTAAGTGGAAAGCGGGCGTACATGCAACCCCACCTCACCTCTCCGGTCTGTTCATTTTTTCTACTGCTCATGATTTTTGGGGGGGGGGGGGTCGTAAGAGAGTGAGGTTCTGTACTGGTCGAGTTTTAATACAGGGCTTTTTATAAGAAATCTGTTTAGTTTGTTATTACTCTGATTTACTCAAATGCCACACGGGTGGTCAGTTTGAGAAGGTGTAATAACATCCTTTCCAACAATTCCATTGTAACAAATAAAGTGATAGTTTTGAATTTATTACAAAAAGAACTTAATAGATTTATCTGTGTAAATAATGTCTGTTGGTTAATTAACGTGTTTTCTTTTTCATTCACTGACACTACATGTATCGTCTACTGGAACAACACATCAATAGAGTTAATCCGCATTTATTATTTTTTTTAATCCCATATCAGTAGTAAGGGGTATAGTCTGGGGTCTATATGGGGTCACTGACGTCATGGGTCCGTCTGGGGTCACCCATCCCATGAAAGCCGTCTGAGGTCGATGACGTCACGACCCATCCCATAAAACCGTCTGGGGTCACTCATCTGATAAAACCGTTTGGGGTCACCCATCCCACAAAGCCGTTTGGGGTCACCCTTCCCATCAAACAGCCGTCTGGGGTCACCCCTCCGTTTTTCCCACGATCAAATTCTTGGTTTTTCCACTAGGGGATTGTCTCAGACACACCCTATAAATTCCTTATGTTTATTATATAAACTCCAACTTTCATTTATATTTTTATTCTGCAAAGAGGAAACACTTTAATTTATACAAAGACAGTACTTGTATTAGTAAGTATACTTTGCATAATTCTTGTTACCCAACATGCAGTTTCTTTTCTTTCTTGTTACCCAAATAATTTCCCCTTTTCAAGAATTACACTTTCATTTTTTTTTAAATATTTTATTAGCATGATTTTTAATATTTTATAAATATTTATAAATATAAGAACAAAGGAATATTAATGAGAACCTTCAATAGACCTACATTTAACAAACAAAGGCTTCATAATAGTTAACTCAAATAAAACCTAACTTTTTAAACATTTGAAATTATTTTAAACATTTCAAATAATCCTGCATATAATTAACAATCATTGAAGTTTGTATTGAGTCCACTCTAACTGAATCACTTACTTTCTTAAACATTTGAAATTATTTTAAACATTACAAATAATCCTGCATATAATTAACAATCATTGAAGTTTGTAATAATTAAGTTCAGTCTAACTGAAACAACTACTTTTTTAAACATTTGCAATTATTTTAAACATTTCAAATAATCCTGCATATAATTAACAATCATTGAAGTTTGTAACAAGTCCACTCTCACTGAATCAATGAGTTCAGAAAGGGCGCTTAACTCCTCCTTAAGAGGATACTGCCTCGACGTTTGCGAAGATGCGGGGGTCCCTGTCCCTGATGGGACTGCTGGTAGCACTGGTGTATTTCTAGCTGTCGGTGTTAGGGTATGGTCAGAAGTCGGAAGGTTAAGTATCGAGTTAAATTCTGTTGGTGTAGATGACAGGTTAAGGGACGATGCGGGGCTGGATGGAACACATATAGGCGAAGACGGGCTATATCCCAACGCAAACTCTGATTTGATTGGTGGTGTAGGACATGGGTTATATCCATACGCAAAGTCGGGTGCCTGGGGGTCGAGCTCAGCTTTAATTGGTGGTGGTGAGGGACAAGGTGGGCTATAGCCTATCGCAAACGTTCTTCTCTTTAGCGCTTCATATTTAGCAGGATTATCCTTCCTGTAATAATGAACATATTTAAAATGAAAAAAATTGTGAATAGATGTAAAATTAGAAATATCTGGAAAATTCTTTTTAAATGCTATACTCCATCTGATTTTAATATATACACGTGTAAACTATATGATACATAATTCTTTAAAAATTACTTCCAATTCTAAAGTAATCGTAAAAATTGTTTATGTTCCAACAAAATACTTACCGAAATTTCTTTAAAGTCTGGTCTTCTTCATCTCTTTGCTGGGTGTATGACGGAATACTCTTACCCAATTTTCTAAAAAAAAAAAAATAATAATAAAATAATAATAATAATTAAAAACGCCAGGGAGGTAGAAAAGAAGGGAAGGTTACTCTTTTGTGAAGGAATTCTGCTTTTAAATTAAAAAATTCTCACGCACTTAAAAAAAAATTAGTTAATAACTTTTATTGACACTAATGATACGCATTTAAGAAACATTCACCTTCGTGTTAAAATAAGTGAGTCTTCCGTCTCACTTATTTTCCTTTTGACACCCCCAGATGGAACGTTATCAAACACGTAGGGGTCTTTAGGAGAATTTCTGTAGAATAAAATGTTTTTTTTTTTTTTCACAAAATATTGTAAAATTTCACATTTTTGGGGATATACAAACTTTAAATAAAATATTTTAAAGTCAATTTTCACAAAATATTGTAAAATTTCACATTTTTGGGGATATACAAACTTTAAATAAAATATTTTAGAGTCAATTTACCCTGATTCAAAGACCCCCACATAGGACTCCTCTCCAAGCCTAATCCATTCTTCCTCAAAGTCTCCAAAGGATCTTGAGGGGGAAGATGTACGTGTGTTAGATTCCCTGGAGAGACAGAATTTTACATTACTGTCCAAGAAAGATAACTCCAGATTACACATACATGTGTATTCAAAATTTTGACTTAATAACACCGTTCACTGAAAAGTGCTAATGTCTTCCTATAGTTTATAGTTTATAAGTAGGAATTTTAATTAACTTTTTTTTTCCTCTTCAGGCTAAAAATACCTTTTAGTAAATAATTGAATAAAATTAATTGATTAAAAGTACTGAATTTGGGGAAAAAATCTAATTTTTTTCAATAAGATTCTATCTCCCTCCAAAATATGAGAGACTGGATTAATTTAATTGTTAAAGAAACAAAATTTGAAATATAACCTTAAGTACTCACTGAAACTTGAAAAATTCTTCAGCCATGGTTGAGATTGTGAACTTGAGCTCTTTTTTCTCAATGATTTTTGCTAAATTTACACCCTCTTTATATACCCCAAGGGTGGAAAGGATTGGTCCATGCTACTAAGGAATATTTTTGGGGGGGGGGATATTCTAAATGTGTGGGTTGGAGATGGGTTGGGTGTGAGAGTTAAAGAACCGGGTCGGGCACGTGTTTCTGTTATCAATGTCGCAATTACCTTTTTAAAAAGTCCGCGATCATATCGTGCACCTGCGCTTAAAATATTTCCGGAACGAAATGTGATAAAACATGATGATGAAATACTCATAGAAGATTGCTAAATATTTTCTAGTACATTGTATATTTATTCATTTATCAATTATAATGATGTAGTTTTACAATGGCTACCCCCAAACCACTCATGCACACACATGTAATAAATTTGCTCAAAGGAACACATAAGAAAAATGCTCACTTAATCATTTAATCCTGCAATTATTTTTTTTATTTATGCCTCTTGTGACAAAACTTAGGTATAACAAGAATAGATATGGGTTACCCCATATCCAAGATATTCGACTTTTAATTTTTTCGAATTTTCATTGTGTTCAGATGATTTCTAATAAAAAAACAAGTATTTACTGACAAAACGTCAGAGATACTCAAGCTGTAGAAAGTCAACTATAAAACTGCCATATACATAAATATCCTAAAATGACATAATATTTAGGCTACTGAGTTTCAACATCTTTTGTTGAGTAAAATATGCATATAGTAGGAAACAAACTGCATGTACATATATAACGTTACATGCATGTAGTGACTTTATCACAGAGTTGCACATGCATAAAAATAGTTTTAATTTCACATAGAACATAAACTAAATATAATTAATCGTATAATTTTAAAAATGTATTTAACGCCTCACTCATTTTCAGGAATATTTAATCCAAATAGCATGTTACAGGCCTATAGCAACGTTTTCAAAGTGAAAGGGGGGGGGGACTCCCAAAAAATCCCGCGTACTGTGGGCCTGTGCTACATGTGTACCATCTAACTTTCCAATGATAGAATCTTCTGTAAAAAAAAAAATTCAAAACAAGTCCAAGCCGTTATGGATTATCAAAGATAGCCCATTTTTATAAATAGCAAAACTACAGATCTATCAAGGATAGATTTTAATTTATTTTTTAATTTTGTGCTATTAAAAAGTACTATCACTCAAAGTATAGGCAGATGTTAAAGATGGTCCAACCTGTCACCTTTTAGAGTAATCAATGAACTCGTCCAATGATGCATTGACGGCCGTTGTTAAACGGGAAAGCGCGAGATCGGTTGCGGCTATGGAGCATCACTGAATATTCCTCCACCATATACTGATTTTGAATATACAGACGTTTTGAAGATAAACTTCATTTTTGTTTCTAGAAATGTTTTTATTTACAAAAATAGTACATTTTCGTGTTAGATCGATGACCATAACTCAGCCCCTCTAGCCCAGTATAAGGCTTCACCTTGAGTAAAAAACCTGCACTTGTTATGAAACTGGTGTATAGTTCTAAACTTCTTTATGTCCGTAGCAAGTACTGATACCCAGTCTCCTAATCTAAGCGTCACTAGGGAACGGTGCACACACCTGTTCTTGCAAGACCAAATAGCCTAGGTCTACACACGTGCGAAGATCTTTCCGAGCTCGGAAAATCACGTTGCTTTGCCGAGAAGTGTTTAACCATAATAACCATTCCGTTATTTAAAAAAGAGAGAAAAAACACAAACACACAGTTAATGATTAACATTCTAACTCAAAAGAAAATATACGGCAATTAACGAACAATAATCATGACAGTAATATAATTGGTGAAAAGATTTATCATTATCAATCGAAGTGTGACCTATATATTTTCGTGAAAAAGACTGAGGAGGCAGCGAGCGTAGGAATATGAAAACTTTTTATTTGCTTTTCTGGGGAAAAAGTGATTTTCTGAAAATCTTTTAACGTTAATTTTGTTTTCTTTAACGTATTAAATATACATGATTATTCTTAATATTTGTTGTAATGTTTTATCTACTGATCATGAATGGAACTATTTTCTTCGGAACAATTGTGTGAAGAGTACCTGACTTTAGTAATATATCTTGAATAGATAATATGCACTGATCGAATATATTAAAAATTGTACAGAATCTATAATGACAAAGTATAAAAATGACCAGTCTGAATCTGTCTTATTTTCTTTTTATTAATTATTTTTATATTAATAAATGTGTAGATAGCATTCAGACGACACAATACTAGTAGGTCCTAACGTGTCAACTTGTAAGTCAAAAACAATTAACAAATGAAAAAAAATCCTAGGGTGCGATTCGCATATTTGTGTAGGTGTCACTCTAGTTTTGTTAGCCTATTTTTTTTACACCCTTTGGGTCAGGTGCACCGACTATTGACAGTTTATCTAGGTCACATTAATCATTTTTGTCTGTTATATTTAAAAAACACTTCGTACAGAAAAATAAATATGTGTTGAAATATTGTATTATAATGACCACACAATATTCGTGCATCTATCGTTATGCGCAATAAAGATACCCTTATGTTGACCACATTTCATACTAATGAATATTATTGATAATTTAAGTCGTATATTCAACCTGAACGGGGTACACATCATAACCGTATTTGGAAAGGTCTAAAAGTCGCATGTACAGATCGATAAAATTTGACCTAAACGCAAAAAGTGTGTCAAAGTTTATTCAGATCACAAGAGTCGTATCTAATACGTTGTAATATTTTTAAAAAAAAAACAGCCCGTATTAAAAAAAGTAACTACATGTTCAAAAATGTCATATCACACAATGTGGGTTTTTGTGAACAAAAGTCATGAATTATAAAACTGTCGATCGTGCGTTGAAGTCTGTATATATCCAATTCATTTAATCTATATTTTATTAATATAAATCTAAATTTGCGCCTTTCACGTTATTTTAACCCAAACCATCCTTCAATATCTGTCATCGTGTGTGTGTGTGTGTATAAGGGTTTCCACGAGAGAGAGAGAGAGAGAGAGAGAGAGAGAGAGTATTACGATGACTCTCAGAGTGCATCATGCACTTACAAATGTATTTCATTTCAACAGAATTAATAATCATAGTTTATATAGCATATATATGAATTAATTTTGAAAAAAGGGTAGATCAGAAGATCACGTGACCAAAATTTTCGCGCGGATATGTTATCACGCGCCCATGCTGAAAAAAAAGATGGAGGAGAGGTCTGTGAGGATGATGTGTGTTATAGGCCTATCTATTGCTTTATGCCCCGTAATTTTGGGTGCCGTATTAAGGAGTCCCACCAGAATCGTAAGACATGTTACTTGCCTTGTATTAATATCACGGTGCAAGCGTCAGAAGTTCGAGACGTTTTTGTGACGTCATGTAGACTGAACTCTGTATTCGTAATTGGAAATATGTCATCGGTACATATTCACCCACTGGACCAAAGTCACAAAGAATGTGGTAAGTCTTAAATATTTCAATTTCAATTAAGTTATCGTACACAGATCCCATTATCCCCCCCCCCTTTCATTGTTGGACAAGTGAAGTAGTACTGAAGTAATTAAATTTGCATCAAATCTGGGTTTTTTTCATATTGGTATTGAGGTGATCACTAGTGAATTAATTTTTTATCGACCATTAAAAAGTACACATAACTGCAAAAAAAAGACGCTCTATCTCCGAAGGTTTACGGAAAGTGCTGCGCGTTTAAATAAAGATCGGGTTCGACATAATATGAATTCGAAAATCAGAGGCATTCCGAATGTTTCATGAATTCTATTTTTTTAAATTTCAGAGCCAAAACAAATCACAGAAACGGGGAAGAACGGTGAGCATTTGAATATACTAATTAAGAAAGATTGTGTGTGTGTAAACATATACAAAGTCTTATAAATATTGCTGTAAAAGGATCTATAGGTAAGGGTGACATTATCAGACCTCGGGTGGCATTAAGTCCATACAGTCTTGAACATGTTGAAAATTTGAAGTAGAAAGGTTTTATGATACCCTTTTTTCCCCTCAGAACCAGTTGAGAAAACGACCAGGCAAGTGGTTTCAAGAACGACAAGAACAACGATAGCTATCACTGAGACCCGAACACCTCATCCCACTAAAGAAGAAGGTAATGGAGGTAAGATGTATACCATAAGTATATAACACATGATGTTTGTGTATAGTCAATGCGTGGCAAGTATACTTTCGTGAACATGGTCAAGGTATAAAAGAAGAAAAAAAATGTTCATAATGACTTTTTGTTTTATTTTTCAGAGCCAGATGAGAAAACAACACAGCCTAGGATTACAAGAACGACAAGAACAATGATAGCTAGCCCCACGACCCGAACACCTCATCCCACTAAAGAAGAAGGTAATGGAGGTAAGATGTATACCATAAGTATATAACACATGATGTTTGTGTATAGTCAATGCGTGGCAAGTATACTTTCGTGAACATGGTCAAGGTATAAAAGAAAAAAAATAATGTTCATAATGACTTTTTGTTTTATTTTTCAGAGCCAGTGGAGAAAACAACACAGCCTAGGATTACAAGAACGACAAGAACAATGATAGCTAGCCCCACGACCCGAACACCTCATCCCACTAAAGAAGGTAATGGAGGTAAGATGTATACCATAAGTATATAACACATGATGTTTGTGTATAGTCAATGCGTGGCAAGTATA